GGAGCTTTATCCTCTGAGGTGTAAGTAGCTCCTTTTCCTCTAAGGAATAATGATGTGGATCCACAGGTGGTGTTAATTAAAGGTCATCCAGTAAGGGTGATAAGTAGTGATGTTTTGTGACTTCCTATGGAGATATACCTCTTTGACAACCTGATAACAAGAGAGGTCTGCTGTTTTCATGAAGCATGCATCCAAGATGAAACAGAGAAGTTCCCAAGGCTTTTCTTTTCTTTTTTTTTTTTTTTTTATTTTTAACATGTGTTTTTAAAACTTTGGGTTACAAATTTTCTCCCTTCCTCCCTCCCCACCAATCGTCTTTGAAAAGGCAAGCATCTCGATATAGGTTATAGATATGTAGTCATGCAAAACACTTCAATAGTAGTCCTGTTGTAAAAAACTAAGTATATTTCCCTTCATCCTATCCTACCCCCCATTTATTCTATTCTCTTTTGACCCTGTCCCTCCTCAGAAGTGTTTGCTTTTGATTATCCCCTTCCCCAATCTGCCCTCCCCTCTATCAATCCCCAGTTCTCTCGTCCCCTTCCCCCTTTATTTTCCTGTAGGGTAAGATAGATTTCCATACCCCAATGTGTGTTATTCCCTCTTTAAGCCAAATCCTGTGAGAATAAGATTCAGTCATTCCCACTCACCTTCCCCCATTTCTCCTCCACTGTAAAAACCTTCTCTTGTCTGTTTCATGTGAGATATTTTACCTCATTCTACTTCTCCCTTTTTCCTTCTCCCAGTATAATCCTCTCTCACCCCTTAAATTTGTTTTCCAGATATCACACCTTTCATCTTCAACTCACCTTGTGCCCTCTATCTATCTGTACATACATATAATTTTTTTCTCTCCCACTACCCTAATACTGACAAAGGACTCATGAGTTACAAATATCATCTTTCCCTGCAGTAATGTAAACAGTTCGACCTTAATAAGTCTCTTATGATTTCTCTTTCCTGTTTACCTCTTCCATGTTTCACTTGAGTCTTGTATTTGAAGGTCAAATTTTCTATTCAGCTCTGGTCTTTTCCACAGAAATGCTTGAAAGTTCCCTATTTCATTGAATGAACATTTTTTACCCTGAAGGATTATACTCAGTTTTGCTGTGTAGGTGATTCTAGGTTGTAGTACTATCTCCTTTGGCCTCTGAAATATCATACTCCATGCCCTCTGTACCCTTAATGTAGAAGCTGCTAAATCTTGTGTTATCCTGATTGTGTTTTCACTATACTTGAATTGTTTCCTTCTGGCTGCTTGCAATATCTTCTCCTTGACCTGGGAATTCTGGAATTTGGTTACAACATTCCTAGGAGTTTTCCTTTGGGGATCTCTTTCAGGAGGTGATTGGTGGATTCTTTCAATTTCTGTTTTGCCCTCTGGTTCTAAAATATCAGGGCAGTTTTCCTTGATAATTTCTTGAAATTATGCCTAGGTTCTTTTTTTGATCATGGCTTTCAGATAGTCCAATAATTTTTAAATTCTCTCTCCTGGATCTATTTTCCAGGTCAGTGGTTTTTCCAATGAGATATTTCACATTCTCTTCTATTTTTTCATTCCTTTGGATTAGTGTTACAGTACCTTGATTTCTCAAATTGTCACTAGCTTCCAGTTTTTCCATTCTTAATTTTTAAGGAAGTATTTTCTTCAGTAATCTTTTGGACTTCCTTTTCCATTTGGCCAGTTTTGCTTTTTAAGGCATTCTTCTCCTCATTGGCTTTTTGGACCTCTTTTGCCATTTGGGTTAGGCTTTTTTTAAGGTGTTATTTTCTTCAGTATTTTTTTGGGTCTCCTTTAGCATCACTCTCAGTTTTTCCTCTACTTCTCTTACTTGCTTCTCAAAATCCTTTTTGAGCTCTTCTATGACCTGGGACCAATTCATATTTTTCTTGGAGGCTTTAGATGTAGGAGCTTTGCCTTCACTGTCTTTTTCTGGTTGTATATTTTGATCTTCTTTGTCACCAAACTAAGATAATATAGTCTGACTCTTTTTGCCTGCTTGCTCATGATCTCCGCCAATTACTTGAGTTACAAACTCTTTGTTAAGGTAGGAGTCTGTTTCCAGTGTGGAGAATGTACTGTCCCAAGCTTCAGGGGTTTTGTGCAGCTGTTTTCAGAGATACTTCTAGGGACCTGTAAATTTTCAGTTCTTCCAAGCTGCTATGATCAAGGGCGAGGTGTTTACTCCTTTCCTGGCCTGTGCTCTGGTCTATGAGCACTCTTTTCTGTCTTGGAACTATGAGGAGGGTTTCCTCTCCACACCCACTACAAGCTCCACCACTCTAGTGCTCCTCCTCGCCCCAGGACTGCCACCCAGGACTGTGACCTAGATCCAAGCACGGGCAAAGCAAGAGAATCCTGCACCAGCAGAAAGATCCCTCCAATCCCCCTCTGATCAGCTACTGGATTCCCCCTCAGTCTGTGGGCCGGAAGCGCCGCCCCGACACTGGAACCTCTCTGTGCTTCTCTCTCGGCACTGTAGAAACAGACTTTTCCCACTGACCTTCTAAGTTGTTTTTGGCATTTGTGGGTTGAGAAGTCTGGAAACTGCCACAGCTGCCCACGATTCAGTCCTCTGAATCCTGTTCCAGGTTCAGGCCCATGCTGTACTGCGCTCCTCTCTCTGCCCGGCACGATATACTTTTCTGATCAACCGTCCAGACTGTCTTTGGCAGGAAATTTGTTTCACTCTGTCTTTTTGTGGGTTCTGCTGCTCTAGAATTTGTTTAGAGCCATTTTTTATAGGTATTTGGAGGGGTTTGGGGGAGAGCTCAAGCAAGTCACTGCTTTTACCCAAGGCTTTTCAGACAGTATTACTATTTTCTGCCTCTGGTGATTCACACAGGTACAAATGATATTGCCAGAAGAAATAATTTATAAGAAGATCCTATGGATACAACTGGTAGTTCTTTCTTTTCTGTCAGTAATGTCACAGGCATCAGAAAAGAGAAGATTGGCTATGTAAACAACTTGTTAAATGAAGTCAACAAGCATTTATTAGTCACCCAACACACAATGCCAGGCACTGTTTAGGTTAAGAAACCAGTATCTGAAAATGAGATTGGATTTCTGAATCTTGGCTTTAAAAAGCAGCAATGACAGAGTGCTGGAAAGGGAGGAATGAAGTACACCTGACAAGGTTGATTGTATTATATTTTACTAGAGTTTTGCTAACTTAACCTAAAGGTCTTAAACCAAAAAGGAATAAAGAGAGAAAAAAACATCTACATACGCCTACAAAGCTAAACCATAGGAATGCAATATTGGCAAAATAGCAAGAGGGATACTTAGAATTTCATAGAAGACAGATCCAAGAATGGAGCCAGTAATGAAACACAGACTCAGATAACTGTACATAAATATATAAAGTCTGGGTAGCAAGCAAGGTGAATTATAGGTCTTAATACAAGGAAACAAATTTGGTATCATAGATTTTAAAAAAAAAAAAAGGCCCCCTATGCACTGAAATACTTGTACCAGCACATTCTATAGTTAACAAAGAATTGGAAACAAAGTAGAGATTCTTATCCTGGAGGAATGGCTAAACAAATTTGTGGTGCAAAAAATGTAATAGTATATTATTGTGCTATAAAAAATAATGACTCTGATAGGTATTAAAAAAAACATGGAAGACTAACATGAACTGATAAAACATGAAGTAAGCATAACCAGATGAAGTATATTCACAATAACTACAACAACATAAATCAAAAAGACAAATCAAAAGAAGAGCAGCAATACAACCATAGAAACATGGGGTTGCGACCCACAGTTTAAAAAATGCTGAAGGGGTCGAGTGAAAAAAGTTTAAGAAGCCCTGGTCTAGACTATCAGTCCAAATCTAATAAGATGAAATTTTAATATTAATAAATCTAACACCTGGATTCAAAAAGTCAGCTTCTTTAGTACAAGATTAGGGAAGTTTCTCTGTGGAAGAGTTTGTCTCAAAAAACATCTGGAAGTTTTATGGGACAGCTAGCTCAATATGAGTTAATAGCATGATACAGCAGATAAGCTAATGCACCTTGAACTACACTGAGAGACATGGTGTCCAGAATGAGGGAAGTTATAGTCCTGCATCACCCTGCCTCAATCAGAGAATATTTAGAGTATAGTGTTCGTTTCACGAAGCTGCATTTTATGAGGGTCTTTGATAAGCTTGAGAGCATCCAGAAAATGGTGAACCAGCTGTTCAAGATCTTACCTGAAGAAGTTGAGGATGTTGGATGTTTAACCTGGAGAAGAGAAGACTTAGAGGAAACATCTTCAAGTATTTGATCAGCTGTCACAGGTCACTTGTTCTACTTGGCCTCAGGGGCAGAACTAGGAGAGTCAAATTTAGGCTTCTTTTGAAGTAACATTTCCTAACAAAGCTGCTAATGGAGAACTGGCATTGGTGTCAGGAAGACCTGCAGTCACTTCTCTCTTAGTGCCCCAGGCAACTAAAGACCTTGCAATTTGCAGAAAAGGTGCTAATCTGAATTGTTAAAGGAAGTTCCTTACCTGGAGGACCCTACATCCAAGAAAATCCTGGTCATCACCTGCCTAGTTAAACAAACCAAAATGATAAAACTCTCCAGAAGTGGAATATTAATTGCCTCTGGAGGTAGGATGTTCTGCTATGACTGGAGATCTTCAAGCAAAGCCTCTATGACTGCTTCTTTTGGAAGAAGTCTCCAGGTGTGGGAGGATTCTTATTCAGATGTGTATTGGAACTAGATGGCCCTTCCACCTCTTAGAGTCTTTGATTCTCTGGCTATGATTCTTTTGGGTGTGTTGGAATCAATCAGATAACAAAATCTTTCTTTGTAATTTAAGTCCCTTTTTTAGGTTTATCATTTAGGAATTCACCTTCATTATTTGATAAATGACCCCTATATGACTAGATACAAATCTATTAAAATGAGCTATTTACAAGATCATTAGTGTGTCTAAAAAGAAAATAGGATATATTAAAAATCTGATGGGTTCTAATTGATTTGTAATCCCTGTGGCATAGGTCAAAGAAATTGTCTGTCCCTGCTTCAGTTGTGTCCAGGATAATGGGAAGAGGTGGATGCAACATCACTGCAATACAAGATGTCACTGGTGCACATATTGATGTGGATAAACAGAAAGATAAGAATGGTGAAAGAATGATCACAATAAGGTAATTATGAAAAAGACTACCAACTATGGGGGGTGTGGCTTTATACAAGGTGAGGGGCTTTTTTGTTTGACTTAGGAGAGTCACAACTAATAGTGAACTTCCTTTAATGAGTAACTTTTTTTCTGTCATTTTGTCTTTAAATTTTCAGAGGTGGCACAGAGTCAACAAGGTATGCAGTTCAACTTATTAATGCTCTTATTCAAGATCCTGCTAAGGAACTAGAAGACTTAATCCCTAAAAATCACATCAGAACCCCTGCCAGCACCAAATCAATTCATGCAAATTTTTCATCTGGAGTAGGTACTACAGCTGCTTCAAACAAAAATGCATTTCCATTGGGTGCTCCAGCTCTTGTAACTTCACAGGCGACAACACTATCTACTTTCCAGCCCCCCAATAAACTGAATAAGAACGTTCCAGCAAATGTACGTTCTTCTTTCCCAGTTTCTCTTCCTTTAGCTTATTCCCATCCTCATTTTGCTTTGTTGGCTGCCCAAACTATGCAACAGATCCGGCATCCTCGCTTACCTATGGCCCAGTTTGGAGGAACCTTTTCACCCTCTCCTAATACTTGGGGACCATTCCCAGTGAGACCAGTTAACCCTGGAAGTACAAATAGTTCTCCAAAGCATAACAATGCAGGTCGCCTGCCTAACCAAAATGGAAATATTTTACAGTCAGAGTCTACTGGACTATCTGCTGCCAGTTGTCCTATCACTGTGTCTTCTGTAGTTGCTACCAACCAACCTCTATGTGTTCCTAATAGCCGGACTCCTTCATCAGTCAGAAAGCAGTTGTTTGCCTGTGTTCCTAAGACAAGTACCATGGCAACAGTGATCTCTACTGTGACAAGCACCTGTAGTTCTCTGCCTTCTGTTTCGTCTGCATCTGTCAACAGTGGACAAGTTCCCACAGCATTTCTGCCCTCTAGTGCTCCACAAACACAACTTTCTGCACACAAAACAGACTCTTTCTCTGCTGTATCAACTCCCAAAGAGAAGGTATCCACGCAAGACCAACCTGTGGGAAACCTGTGTACCCCATCTTCAGTTGCAAATAATTGTAGTATCTCTGCCAGCAACAACCCAGGAGCCCTGGAAACCTGCTCTTCTAGTAGTCCTGCTCCTCTCAATAACACACAGGAGGAGGTACTGCCAGCAAACATATCTGATTTAAGTCCTATGTCATTGCCTTTTGCATCTAACTCAGAGCCTGCCCCATTAAGCTTAGCATCTCCTCGATCAGTTGCTGCTGATAATCAGGACACCAGTAATTTACCTCAATTAGCTGTACCAGCACCTCGAGTTTCTCACCGAATGCAGCCTAGAGGTTCTTTTTATTCAGTGGTACCTAATGCAACTGTACACCAGGATCCACAGTCTATTTTTGTTACAAATCCAGTTCCTTTAACACCACCTCAAGGTCCACCAGCTGCAGTGCAGCTATCCTCAGCCATGAGCATTATGAACGGTTCTCAGATGCACATTAACCCAGCAAATAAATCTTTGCCACCTACGTTTGGTCCAGCCACACTCTTCAATCACTTTAGTAGTCTTTTTGATAGTAACCAGGTGCCAGCTAACCAGGGTTGGGGAGACTGCCCACTGTCTTCACGAGCTGCCACAGATCCATCTTTCACTGTTCAGTCAGCTTTCCTTGGTAACTCCATTCTTGGACACTTAGAAAATGTGCATCCTGATAACTCCAAGGCACCTGGATTCAGACCACCTTCCCAGCGAGTTTCTACTAGTCCAGTTGGTAAGTTACTAGCAGCTAAATCATCTCTGTTCAACCTTCATCAATCAGCTCATATTCCTCTTCCTTTCAGAGGTTCCCAGACTTATTTAGCTTTTCAAGAAAAAAAAATATATATGGATAGATAGATAGATAGATATTACTCAGTGCCAACCCCCCCCCCCCATCTACTTTCTTTAAGCCTTTAATGTTTTTGGCTTTGGTTTGGTTTTGGCTTTGAAATTTGCATGATTTCAAAGTACTACTGTCCTGCCTGGCCGCGGGGGCGCGTGTCCCCCCCCCACATCATTCCAACACGACACCTCCAGGGGGACAGTATTGACAGTATTGCCCACTTTGGGAACCTATGCATAGGTGATATTGCCACCTTATGTTTTTCCTAACTCTTTAGCAGTAAAATTGTGCCTTGTTGCCAGATATCTCCATGTGGTTATATCAAATGACAGTTTTGATAAACGGTTCAGGAACACTCCAGGGAAAATTCACAGCTTGCAAACATTTTCCAGAGTCTCTGAAATTTCATACTTTAGATGAAAAATGCAAGTTGTGATTTTAGAAACAGGTTCATAGCATACTTTCTTAGTTCCTACTCCTGTTAGAAAGCATTATTTTAAATTCAAACTTTTACTATTAGTGTAAGATTCGTTATTCATTTATTTTTGTTGTTACTGAGTCTTCATAATCACCTTGGGAAAGTTTTCTTGGCAAAGAGTGGTTTGCCATTTCCATCTCCAGCTCATTTTACGGAAGAGGAACTGAGGCAAACACCATTAAGTGACTTGCCCAGGCTCACACAGCTAATATCTGAAGCTGAATATGAGTCCACTGTGCCACCTAGCTGCCCCTGTTCATTTGTGCATTTGTTTTTAAAAGGCTTAATATGGTTGACTGTTGTTTACATGGACGTAGAAACCAACTGTTGAATTCACTACATGAAAGAATTGGGTAAATTATAAAAATAAGTGTCAATTTTGAACTTATTTTGGGAAACTTAGTATGTTTATCAGACTGAGCCACAATAAAGTATATACTGTAAGAATGAGAATGGCACTTTAGGTATGTACTGTGCTGAAAAATAATTGTAGTTGATGAATATAATTTGGAGTTGAAATTGTTGGGGAAAAAATCCTTGCAGTTGAAGGATTTAACAATTTATACCATATGTTGCTCCTTTACTGATTGGCTATGTTGTTTAAACTGTATCTGGTGGGCTGGGGTGATCAGTGTTCTCAAGTGAATCTCTGTGTGGCATTAAATATACGGTACTTTAAAAATTTGTAAGTACTTTCTACCTTCTATAATGCAGTAGAACCCTAAATACACATAACACCTTCAAAAGTCCCAAAAGCCCTCCTTAGTCATCTAGAAATAAAGCTGGTTAGATTCCATTTTGGTGGAATTAGTAAGAGATTTTGGAGTACTCTTGAAAGACCATGGGAGCAGAAAACAGTAAATTAAAGGCCCTATTCTCAGTGCTGCGGTTATAATAGCATCAGTGTGGTTTAATATAAATACCACTGGACTTGGGGTCAAAAAACATGAATTTGAATCCTGATTTTGACACTAGCATCTTGTGACCATAGGTAAATCACATCTATTCCATGTCTGAGTTTTCTCATTTGTAAAATGAAAATAGTATTTGCACTGCCTGTTTCCCATTGTTATGAGAAAAGTACTTCATCAGCTTTTAAAGTGCTGTAGAAATATGAATATGCATTTAAAATTGTAGCCTTTTACATAACACTGTCCTCCAGAGTGATGAGAGGTAAACCCAGCATCTGCCTGGTATGTTTATTTGTGGATGTTCTCTTTCCACAAATTGTAGTTTAGGGAATCTCTTATATTTCATTTAAGAGCAGTTTTTAGAAGTATAAAGAAGAGTGTATAGTTAGAAAACTAAGGGGGCAGCTAGGTGGTGCAGTGGATAGAGCACTGACCCTGGAGTCAGGAGGACCTGAGTTCAAATTCAGCCTCAGACACTTACTAAAACTATGTGACCTAGGGCAAGTCACTTAACCCCAAATGACTCTAAAAGAAAAGAAAACTAAGGAGGCCTATTTGAGTGATTTTGCGGGGGGCGGTGTAATTTACAGGTTTATCACAAGCTATCTTTTCTTGAAATGAAAATAGTAATTTCCTTTTTCAAGCCTTTTTACCCATTCCCCAGTAGGTAATAAATATAAGAAAGCCAAAATTCACCCTAGGACACTTTTGGAAGAAAGATTTTGAATCTGAAAAAAAAAAAAGATTTTGAATCTATTTACAACTTGTTAATTTTACTGTAATAAGTAATAAATTCCATATCTGCTTGGTTTAGTGGCATCATTGAACTCTTCAGGAACACTCGTAGTCTTAAGTACTCATTTCTCACAGGACACATTTCTGTTGGGTGAAGATGAAGAACTATACTCTTAAAATTTTCTTCAAAACATAACCGTTCCATCAAACAATGATGTGGATGCTGTCTAGTCACAAGTTCCCCTGTGCACTAGCCTACGTTCATAACGTATTAGATCTAGAGATGGAAGATATGTTAGAGAGTATCTGGGAGCCATCTCTCCAACTCTCGTGTTTTTATAGATGCAGGATCTGAGGCTCAAGGAAACAAAGGGACTTGCTCATGGTCATATAAGTAGTAAGCATCAGAGGCAAGATTTGAACCTAGGTCTTGACACCAGAGCCAGTGTTCTTTCTGTGGTACTGTTCTGTCTCCCATGACCTCCACCATACTTTCCCTTTCAGTGAAAGTTATGAAATTAATCTAGATGATTATCTCATTCTTAAATAACCATTCTTTCCTGATGTATGTTTAAATATGCTTCATCATGGGCTACTAACGTGCCACAGCCAGTGTTTTGGTGTCAAATGTTCATTTTTTTTTCTTTTTAATGTACAGACTTAGCTGACCCTTTGAAAGCACAGAGATCTGTAGTAGTGGGTTTTTAATAAGTATTTATTGAATTGAAGGAATTTCGGCCATTTCAAGGAAGCTCTTCCCCTTCCATATTACTTCTTTGTTCGTAAATCTTTGAATTAACAGCAGGAACTCTTTGTCTCCTCCTTTCCTAGGAGAAAATTAAGGCTTTGGGTTTGAAAATCTCAATTAAATGTGTATCTTGGCCATGCTTTCTTTCAGGATTACCATCCATTGATCCATCTGGAAGCTCCCCATCTTCATCTTCAGCTCCTCTGACAAGTTTTTCCAACATACAAGGAACACGGGTTTTTCTACAAGGTCCAGCACCTGTTGGGACTCCAAGTTTCAACAGACAACATTTTTCACCCCATCCTTGGACAAGTGCTTCAAATTCATGTAGGAATTTTGGGGGAAAAAATGATTGTGAAAGTTTCTTAATTAAGTTATTGACTACCTCAGAGAGTTTTTTTAGATAAGTTGTATTACAACACTTTTGATAATCTTTGATCACTATGGTCTTTTATCAGTAACATAAACAGCGTGGAAAATGGTCAAACTAGCCAGTCATAGTAGCATACACCTAGAAACCTTATTACCAGTAAGGCTGAGACTAGTGGATCACTTTGTCTCAGGAGTTCTATCTTTTATTAAGTTTGACACTAAATATGGTGAGCCTCCTAGAATTTTGGGGGTGGGGTAATGCTACCAGGTTGCCTAAGGAGAAACAAACTGAGTCAAGTCAGAAATGGAGCAGGTAAAAGGCTCCCTTGCTAATCATAGTGAGATTGGGCCTGTAAGCAGCCATTGTGCTTATAGTCTGGATGAGATGAGGAGACACCTAGTCTTCTTAAAAAAAAAGAAAGAAAGAAAGAAAATGCTCAAACTAATCTACAAATCTTGAAATATTTTTATTGACTTTGTGCTGAGTAGAACAGGAATCAGAAGTACTTTTACATAGGACCCTTTTATTGTACTACTATTGAATAATTTGTTGAATTTGATCAGAAGCTAAAAATTGTGATACTGCCCTGATCTTTGTTTTTTTTTTACATTTAGGAAAATTGCATAAATTTGATTCTTTTTCTTACTCATTGATAAAGACTATTATGAGTAAATCCCAACAATATAATGAATCATAAGTTAGTCAATGATTTAATTGCCATTTTTGTTAGTGCAAAAACTTAATCCCAGAAAAATGACCATGTTACCGTTTAGTAACCAACCAGTCGGTTGAAACTTGTAATACTTTTCTAACATTTATCCTTATTTTTAAAATGTAATCATTTTCAGTCCTTATAATCTAGAGTCTTTTGCTGTGGAAGTAGCAGTAAATATATAGTACCTTTCTTTTCTGCCTTCATCTGAGCAGCCTAAGAAACTTTTAAGCCATTTTCAATATTCATTGAGTTCTATTCAGAATTATACATAATCTAAAACTATTTACAGAATCTTGGTTTTAGAAACTAATTTTTCAACTTCAGTACTTAAAAATAGCCACAGTTTCATCATTGTGTTAACCACCACCAGCACAAATCCTTTCCACACCTTTAACTTTATAGGTTGTTATGGGCAAAGAATATTGATAACCTTTTTGATAATGTACCTTCTCCTTATTTAACATACTAAATTGTCTTATTATACAATCCATTACTGGGTACTGTACCCATAAAGGTTTCATAGCTTGAATTCCTTTAGCATACAGAACCTTCAAAAACCCAGATTCATGTCTCCTCCACAGTACGACATCAGAGTAGGACTTTGGTGGAAGAATTCTCCATCCAAATTTCTCGGATATTTACCATAACTAGTTTTTATATGTAATAAAACAATAGAGGTATATTTTGCCACCAGGTGACTCTCCTATTCCATCTGTTTCCTCGGGATCATCTTCACCCCTTTCAGCTACTTCTGCACCACCAACATTAAGCCAGCCAAAAGGAGGCAACCCCAATCAGGATAGAAAGGTACCTCCCCCGATTGGAACAGAGAGACTTGCTCGGATTCGACAAGGAGGTTCTGTTACACCAACGCCTCTGGGAACTAATTTCACAGCACCTGTTGGACATAGTGGTATCTGGTCCTTTGGCGTCAATAGCGTGTCAGGTAAGATTGCCCTGCCTTCTGTAGAGGGAATAGCTTAAGTAGGACTTTTAAAGCAAGCAGGAAATTCTTTTGATGATAGAGGGTCCTCTCAGTGATAGTATTTTATAGCTATCAAGATTACAGCTATACCATAAGTCTGAAATGTTACTTAGAGTAGGTATTGTAAGCATAAAGCAACAGTAACTAGAAATTATTAAAATATATTTCCTTTTCACTTGAAATATCTAGCTCAGATAGTAGTAGTAACCCTTGGAATCCCTAAAAAGACCAGTCTTTGTCACTGAAGATATCTTTTGAAGAGGCCTCATGGCAGTTACTAGAAAGTGTTTATTATTCAGAAAAGTTTTCTCATTTAACGTACTAGTCAAGCTGCTGACATAGACCAGGAGTTCTTTTTTCCAAGAAAAGTCTCAGTTCAAATTAAGTAACACAAGCCCATTTCTAATTTTTTCCAGAAGGCCTTTCTGGTTGGTCACAGCCTGTGATGGGGAATCACCCACTGCATCAGCAGCTCTCAGACCCAGGCACCTTCTCCCAGCACCAGCCAATGGAAAGAGATGATTCAGGAATGGTGGCTCCCTCTAACATTTTCCATCAGCCTATGGCAAGCAGTTTTGTGGATTTTTCTAAAGTAAGGATCTAAAATTTACTGAATGTGGAATTGTCCATGTAGACCTTTTTGAAAATCCTAGCAAGCTTAAGGGTAATTTTTTTTTTCATTTTTGAGATTAAATATCCCTTTCTGTGGAGTTCACATAAACTCAAATCTTTGCCGGTCATTTTGCTTCATTTACTAAGTGTGCTGTGTCTTTCAAAATCCTGGGAGGCTTAAATAAATGCTAGTTGACTGTGTTACTAGCAGTAACTTATTGTGTACAAAAGGATGTTCTCATGGATTATGATAATGATAAAGAATACAGGTCTTGAAACCAGAGAGCCTGAATTCAGATTCTGGCTCTGCTGCTTGCGCTAGCGCTCTCACTCTTGCGTTCTCTCTCTCTCTCTCTCTCTCGCCGTATCTAAATCAAGTTAGCCTGTTGGCATCATTTTCCTTTATCTGTAAATGAGGTTGGTCTAGCTGATACTGAGGGTCTTTTCTAATTCTACTTCTATAATCTTTTGACCTTAAATTTGAATAGCTTTTTCAAGTTTTCAAAGTATTTTTCCATAGTAATGCTGTGATAGATTATGCACATTTCAGGTGATGAGTTTATTTTGACTCTCAGTACGGCTTATGTTTTTTT